CCAACACCATGCTCATGCCTGGGATAATCCCCCTTTTATTACACGCATCCTGACAAGGACAAATATTGCTGCCTTTGCCTATCCAGTCTCTTATGCAATAGGAGGCTGTGCAAGGGAGGTGCTTGGTCTTTGGAGTAAGCTCCTTCGGGCAGAAAGCTCAGGTCTGGCCTCTCATCCCCCAAAGAACCAGCTGATTTCCCTCCCCAGCTGCTCAAACCCAAGCAATGCTTCTGCCTGGCATGATGAGCAGGCATGAACGTGACCTTCCTTGGGGTGACGGGCACCCTAAGGAAGCTCATCCAGTCTTGGCAGGGCTGTCGTCAGCATCTCCCGATGCCATCAGGAAGCTCTGGATCAGGCACACGTTGCTTTCCTGTCCTAAGTCCTGCGCTCTCCCTGCAGCAGGGACTCAGGGCAGAGCAATCAGCTAAATGCTTTATCCCCCTGTGGGCAGTCATGGGGAGGGGGGGGAATAGAAACCCGATGGGATCCTTTTGCTGGCCTGTCACGTTAAAGCCTCTCACCTCACCCTGTCTGTCATTGGAGCCATAAACTCCTTAGAGGATGGCATCACGTGCTCCATAAATAACAAATATATAAGCTGGGGTAGTGGAGGGTGCAGCGGGCAGAGGAGGGGAGGCAGAACCCCAGCTCCTCCTCTGCTGTGGGACAGCACCACTGGAGCCAGGTGGGCAGAGGAACGGCACTGGGGCCCCATCCGGTAAGAACCCCGCATCCCGGTGCCGCACCAGCCTTGGGGACACTGGTGGTGCAGTCAGCCCAGTGACCTGCCAGCCCCAGGGTCCCAGGCAGGGGGGGAATTGCTCCAGAGGGGAGGGAGGTTGGTGCAGGGAGCTTAGCTTACCTGAAAAGTGGCTTTGGTGGAGGTAAGAGCGTGACCATCCCCGCAGCCCGTGTCCCATCCGGGCACTTCCAACACTATCAAATCCTGGGTGTAAGGACCCTTCTCACCAAAACCCTCCCTGTTCAGGGTGTTGGAAGATCTCAAGCTCTTTTGCAAAGAATATTCAGCTTCAGAACTGGGTGAATAACTCCTTGATACCAACTCGTTTAAACAGCCAAGCTTCCAAGCCAGGCGGATGCATCATATAATAACAGCAAGATGCTGTTAGGGGGATAGTGCAGACCTGCCTCTTAATTTACATGTGGGGTCCTCTCTGGACCACGCACTTTGATCTCTAGTGACAAACATGAGCGTATTTGGGGGGGGGGGGAATTTACAGAGAAAACTTTTGGTATCTGCTGTGTACACAGGGATGTATGGGGCTCATCTCAGGCAGGGCTGGAAGGAGTTACAGCACAAAATGCAGCCTGGGGTGTAAGTGACTTGAACAAGATACAGGAGCCTGTGCTGGAGCATTGGAAGACAGATGTCTCGAGCAAGGGATTGAGGATGCTCCTCCTCACTCTGGTTCTCACTCACTCTCTGAGCTGGGGTGAGGTTCCTTCACCTCTGCAGGTCGGATGCTCTCCGGGTGTAACTGCAGTGCTGGTACCCCCATGGCAGGGCTTGGGTCAGCTCCAGGGATGGGCTGGGATGATGGATGGTTCCTCTGTGCTCTGTCTGGGCCCCCAGCCCACCCCAGAACTTTGCACCTGTGGAGAGCTGAGAAGCAAAGCAAGGAGCTCATTTCCAGAGCACAAACCCAAATAGGTCAGCCCTGCAGCGGTGTAACCTGGGCTGCCAGGAATAGAGTGCCAGAGGGGGGGGAAATACAGGAAAAAGAAGCCAAGGAGCAGCCTTTCCCCATCACTGGTTTCGGCTCCGGGCTGTTGTTTGGTGTCTCAGGAAGCTTCTAGAAGCAGCTGGAGGGATCTGAGCCCTATCTGATGGGAACAGAGCAGCCACTTGCATAAGAGGTCTTGAATCCCCAGCTCTGGATGTCCTGGTAGAGACTTTCCACTGTTCAGTTCCTTCCAGGCTTTATGTGACCTGCGATGAAGACTTGCTCTTGGATATTGAACTGTTCAACAGTGGCTATCAGTGAGCAGACGTCCCTGAGGAACCTGGTCTAGTGGAAGGTGTCCCTGCTCGTGATGGGGGGTGGGGGGGGGTAGGACCAGGTGACTTTTAATGATCCCTTCCAACCCAAACTCCTGCTCCAGAATTCCCACAGCAGCTGGAACATGTGTCCTGCCTGAGCCCGTACTGAGCTGGCTCTGCCCTGCCATCCTCAGGCACTCAGCACCACCCAGGATTGAACCAGCACTGCATTTTCTAGGTGCCAGAGCCTGCCCTCCTGCCTCCTCTAGGATTTATCCAGGTGGATGAGCCCCTAATTCAATTAGCAGGATGAGGAGTTCCAGAACAGTTGATATAAGCTCTACAAACACTGCACCTCCAGCACCCTGCTGTCCCCTCCACCTCAGCCACCCCTTTACCCCCTTCCTACATGCTTCCCAGAGCATGAACCACACACTCCCAGCATCATTTCAGTCCTTGGTGACCAGAACAAGAGTTGGAGTTGCTCAGTGATTCCCCCACCAAATAAACCCATTCTCCCTGATGGAATTACGATCCCTTAGCAACACATCCGCTGCTAACCCAGCAATCCATTGAAAATCCATCACAGCACCCCCCTTTCACCTTGGGCTGGATAAACCAGGCATTCCAAGCACCCAGCCCTGGGCATTTCAGGGTGGAAAATTCCCAGCTTGTTCTGCCCTGTGCAATGTGTGTGCTGGTAATGCTTTTGCTTCCATAAATCCTATTAGTTGGAGGCAAGCCTATAATTAGCAGGGAAAGCTGGCACCTCTCAGACAATCATCAAAAGTGACCTGGCTTCACAGTGGCTTTGCTGCAGGAGGCTGGAATACAGGGCTGGGCAGGGATAGCTGGCTACAGGAGCAATTCCCACTGTTTCTGCCTATGGAATGCATGTGTTTAGTAAAGTTATCAGCTTAGTTTATGGTTCTCTTTGGATTTATTATCTTGGATTGTTCACCCATGAAAGCAGAGGCAGATTGAAGCTCCAGGCTTTGAGCCAGGTTGAGGGATTGGGCCAGGCTGTGCAGGATCTTGCTGATGGATGAGCTCAGGCACTGGTGACCCTCCCGGGGAACTGAGGGATAATGGGGTTCTGCATCACACGCAGCGTGTCCTGGGACGGGCTGTGTCTGGTGGGATCACGCTGCCCAAAGCTCCCTGGGCAGTGGCAGAGCCTGGGGCATCTCACCCAAGGAGGACACTGGTCCTTCCAGCTGCAGGCACCCCCTCATCCTGCCATGAACCCATCCCAGCTCTATCTGCGAGCACGGATGTGACCCAAGAGCCCAACAGGTGCTGAGCTGTCACTTACCTGCTGAGTGAGCTGGAAAAGGGAGTAAATCCTGGCAGCTGGGGCTGTCTCTGGGTGCCTGGTGCGTGTCCATGCTGGGACAGCTCAGTGCACACATGGTGGTCCAGCACTGACCCCTTGCTCGCACACAGCCGTGCTGCACTGTGAAAGCAAGAGCATCTCAAGGAGCTTTCCCCCGAAATGCTCACTTTGCATCCTCTTGGCATCCTGCAGCCGCAGCCCACCCTGCCTGTCCCAGGGCTCTGCTGCCTCTCCCCCTGCCTGGCTTTGCCATGGGCTGGGAGGTGTTGGGCAGGATGCTCAGCCCCACGCCTGCTCCTCCTGCTCCAGCTATCACCCCCAGCCCTGCCCCTGCTCTGTCCCACAGCCCAGACCTCCTAACTGGTCACCAGGCTTTTGTCACCCTGGTCCCTGGGTTTGTCACCTCCTGGTCCCCCCAGGCACTGGCCCCAGCTCACAGAGACGCAAATGGGGGCACTGTGGGTGGGTGTTTGCTTGCATATAGCATAGAACCAGGGAATGGTTTGGGTTGGAAGGGATCTTAAAGCTCCTCCAGTCCCAACCCTTGCCCTGGGCAGGGACACCTTCCACTAGAGCAGCTTGCTCCAAGCCCCTGGGTCCAACCTGGCCTTGAACACTGCCAGGGATGGGGCAGCCACAGCTTCTCTGGGCACCCTGTGCCAGCGCCTCACAGGGAAGAGCTTCTGCCTAAGATCTAACCTGAGCTTCCCCTGTTTGTTTGAACCCATCACCCCTTGTCCTGTCGCTACAGTCACTGATGAAGAGTTCATCTCCAGCATCCTATATGTATCTAAGATTCTATACACATATATCTTCTCACATGTATAGGAGAAGGGTGCCAAGCAGCCTGTCCCTGTGTGTGATCAACAGGTATTTCCAGCAGCCAAGAGCACTGGAGAAGTTTGGCTGAAACCAAGGATGCTGCCATCAGGACCAGTGGAGCTGCTTCTGCAGAGAGCCGAGAAGTGAAGCAAGGAGTCCATTTGCTCAAGGCTGCCCGAGCAGTGGAGCAGTGGGAAACTAGGCGGGAACAGGAGCAGGAGCAGAAGCAGGAGCAGGACCAAGACCAGGAGCAGGACCAAGACCAGGAGCAGGACCAAGACCAGGAGCAGGACCAAGACCAGGAGCAGGAGCAGAAGCAGAAGCAGAAGCAGAAGCAGGACCGAGACCAGGAGCAGGAGCAGAATCAGAAGCAGGAGCAGGAGCAGGAGCAGGAGCAGGAGCAGGAGCAGGAGAGGGAACAGAAGCGGGAGCAGGAGAAGGAGCAGAAGCAGGAGCAGGAGCAGAAGCAGGACCGGGAGCAGGAGCGGGAGCAGGAGAGGGAACAGAAACGGGAGCAGGAGCAGGAGAGGGAACAGAAGCGGGAGCGGGAGCAGGAGAAGGAGCAGAAGCAGGACCGGGAGCAGGAGCAGGAGCAGGAGAGGGAACAGAAGCGGGAGCAGGAGAAGGAGCAGAAGCAGGAGCAGGAGCAGAAGCAGGACCGGGAGCAGGAGCGGGAGCAGGAGAGGGAACAGAAACGGGAGCAGGAGCAGGAGAGGGAACAGAAGCGGGAGCGGGAGCAGGAGAAGGAGCAGAAGCAGGACCGGGAGCAGGAGCAGGAGCAGGAGCAGGAGCAGGACCGGGAGCAGAAGCAGGACCGGGAGCAGGAGCAGGAGCAGGAGCAGGAGCAGGACCGGGAGCAGAAGCAGGACCGGGAGCAGGAGCAGGAGCAGGAGCAGGACCGGGAGCAGGAGCAGGAGCAGGAGCAGGATGTCGGTGCTCAGCGCAGTGCCTTTCCTGAAGCCCGTCCATGTGAGGTCCCCCCGCAGCCCTCCCGGCCGCCAGCGCCGTCACACGCTGCCTGCCAGCGAGTTCCGCTGCCTCAGCCCCGAGGATGCCGTCAGCGTGTTCGAGATCGAGAGGGAAGGTGAGGGGCTGCCGGGGGGGTCCTTCCCTTCCCTTCCCTTCCCTTCCCTTCCCTTCCCTTCCCTTCCCTTCCCTTCCCTTCCCTTCCCTTCCCTTCCCTTCCCTTCCCTTCCCTTCCCTTCCCTTCCCTTCCCTTCCCTTCCCTTCCCTTCCCTTCCCTTCCCTTCCCTTCCCTTCCCTTCCCTTCCCCCTGTGCTCTTTGAGGCCACGTCCTGGTGACAAAACCCTCCCTGTGTGCCCTCGTGGGTGATAAGGAGGGACTCAGCGGCTGTGGCTTGTGGCCAGGCCACCCTGGGCTCGCTAATGAGGTGTGGAGGAGCTGTGGTTAATGAGGTGCAGAACCACGGCCCTCAGCTCACCCACTCCCTGTGGTGTGGGGATGATGGGAGGTGATGCCCTGGGCTGAGCAGCCTGGGGTGATCCTGGACCAGATGTCCCAGAACAGCCCTGGGAGCCAGTGGGCAGCAGGAGAGGGGGGGAAGTGGGAGGAAGGACACCACGCTCTGCCTCCGGTCACACTGGGAGATGCACCCCAGCAACCTTCCCCCTCCCTTCCACCCCAGGCACCCCCAGCTCCCCTCTCCCAGACTCACCCTGCCCATTTCTCCGTCCTCCCCTAAGGGAGATGCAGGGAGGGAGGGTTCATCTCAGCACCCACTGCAGTAGCCTCGGAATCAGCAGCAGGAGCCTGAAGCCAGCTCCTGGGCCAGGGGGAGCTGCTTTTGGATGAGCAGAGCCGCTCCCTGGAGCCACCCGGGCCCCTCAGAGCTCCTTTAGACCAAGTAGGAAGCAGGACGCAGGATCTCTCCCCATCACATCCCGCTTTCATCACCCACATCGGTGCTGGGGGGTGTCCCAAAGGGTCTGGGTGCCCCTGGTCCCCCCCTCCACTCACTGCTATCCCCCTCCAGCCTTCATCTCCGTCTCCGGGGACTGTCCCCTCCACCTGGATGAGATCCGGCACTTCCTGAACCTGTGCCCGGAGCTGTCCCTTGGCTGGTTTGAGGAGGGGCGGCTCGTGGCCTTCATCATCGGCTCCCTCTGGGACCAGGAGAGGCTCAGCCAGGTAAGAACCAGACCCTGTTACCCTGGCTCATTCACTGGGGACCAGAAGCTCCCTGGGGTTACCCAGGAAGTGTTCTCCCAAGGCTGTGCTGGGGGAAATTAACTTCCTCAGTAATTACTTTTACTGATGCTGTTAAAAATACGCCAATTAATTCCCCTCAGCATTCATTTCAGGATTAAAAAGCCTCCAAGGATGATGGGGGAGCTGAAGGGGGATTGCACTGCGGACCCTTGTCCTTATGGGGGGGATGTGGACCTTGAATCTGGGGTTCAGTCTGGAGAAGAGAAGGCTCGGGGAGGACCTGATGGCTCCCTACAAGTGCCTGACAGGAGGCTGGAGCCAGGAGGGGCTGGGCTCTGCTCCCAAGGAACAAGGGATGGGACAAGAGGAACCGGCCTCAAGCTGCCCCAGGGCAGGTTTAGATGGAGCTGAGGAACAATTCCTGCCCCAGAGGGTGCTCAGGCATTGGAACAGGGCAGGGCTGCAGGCACCATCCCTGCAGGTGTTCACACAGCGTGGAGACGAGGCCTCAGTGCCATGGGTTAGGGGTGGCCTTGGCAGGGCTGGGTTGGACCGGACGAGCTTAAAGGCCTTTTCCAACCCCGTTCTCCGATCCCGCGGGGCTGGGAGCCCGGACCCGAGCAGGACGGGCCCTGACCCCGCGCTCCCCCTGCAGGCAGCGCTGACCCTGCACCGGCCGCAGGGCTCGGCCGTGCACATCCACGTGCTGGCCGTGCACCGGGGCTGCCGGCAGCAGGGCAAGGGCTCCATCCTCATGTGGCGGTACCTGCAGCACCTGCGGGGGCTGCCCGCCGCCCGCCGCGCCCTGCTCATGTGCCAGCGCTTCCTCGTGCCCTTCTACCAGAAGTGCGGGTTCCGGGCGCTGGGGCCCTGCGCGGTCACGGTCGGGGACTTGGCCTTCGTGGAGATGGAGCACGCCGTGCGGGGACATGCCTTCCTGCGCAGGAACAGCGGCTGCTGAGCCCCGCGGCCCAGCCCCGCCGATGGGGACAGGAGGAGGCAGCGGCCGCCCTGCATCCCCACCGCAGCTCCGCATCCGCCCCTCTGCCTTCCAGCCACGGACGGCCTGGTCCCATCCCAGCGCTGACCCCATGGGCTCTGCTGCAGCCGTGGCTGTGCGGACAAGCCGGGGCTAAGGCCCCCCCTCCCCCGGGCATGGAAAGGTTGGGGGTCTCTGCTGATACAAGGGTGCTCAGAGCCACGGTTTGCAGACACCCAGTAAAGCCCACGCATACACATGCCCCAGCCCTGCACCCTCCCCAGCACCCCCCCATGGCCAAACCCACCCTGAGCAGCCCTCAGACCAAGCAGGGCTCCTGGCAGACGCTCCCCTGCCTGCAAACATCCATTCAGAGCCCTTGGAGCGCATCCCCAGCCCCACATTGTGGAGCCTCCCTTGGGGGCCACACCGAACCAGTGCCCCCCAAACCCACGTCTTGCCCCAGGACAAGCCTTCTGCAAACACCTCAAGCTGTTGGCAAGCAGCAAATAAAGGCACGGTGATGGTTTTCTACGCAGCCTGTGTGTTTGTGTCCTGCTCTGACACTCACCTCGCCACAACAGCCACAGCCAACAGCCCTTGGGGCATCTTGGCTTTGAGGGAGATGGGGCAAATCCAGCCCTGGGTCATTCAATGAAGGGGACACAGAGAGGGAGCTCTGTCCTTAGGCAAGGTGAAGGGGATCCATGGATCTTTTTCCTGCAGGTATTTGGCTTCCCCTTCCTGAGACCCTCAAAATCCTGTCCCCTGAGAGGAGATGGGGAGAGCCCAGCCCTGCACCCCAGGGCAACAACCCCAAGCTCATCCTCCCTCCCTGACACACCAACCACCACCAAAACCACCGCAGCAGCTGAAAGCGCTGCATCCCCGTGCCCGAGGAGGGAGAAGAGGCCTTTGTGTCTCATTAAATACAGGTAGAAATTTATTAAGGAAGGGGAAAAAAACCCCACAGCTTTTAAAAAAGTATCAAAAAGAGACAAATGAGGTGAAGTGTTCGTCTTTGGCTGGAGCAGCAACGGGAGGGGTGGGGGTGAAAACTGGCCCGTGGAGGGGGGAAGGATGCAGGAAAGGATGCAGGGAGGGATGGAGGTGCCACATTGCTCCCAGGCTCACCCCAGGAGCAGCTGTGGACAGAGGGAGCCTTGCTCCCAGCCCTTGAATACTCATCCCAGGACACCCCAGCTGGGGGTTTCCCACCTTCCCCCATTTAACAGTGCTGAGACCCACCAGCACCAGAGCAACACACATCAGGGAGAGACAGCCCAGGTCCAACCCAGCCCAGGGGGGTCAGTGGCCCCAGGAAGGACCTGCCTTCACACTGCGGCCGGCAGCAGGGCCACGGGGATGCTGGGGAGCAGCAGCCAGGGCTGGGGCAGGCAGGGGAGGAGGACGGCGACTGCCCCATCCTGCACTCCTGTCTGCACCATTCGAGGTGCGAGGGCTCCTGGGTCTCTGTGCTTTGAAGGAGGAAAGGGGTAACGATAGGGACGGGAGGCAGAAGCAGGAGGGGGAGCACAGACAGCTTCCTGAGGGGTCTCTGGGCTTCAGGAGCAGCCACACAGGCACCCAGGGTGTTTTCCTCCATGCCTGCCTCCTGCCATGGCCCTATGACCACAGCACCTGCAGCCCCTCTGCTTCCAAAAAGGGAATTTCACTGAAATGAGGGGAAAAGAAACGCCCCTGCCCCAAGTCCTGCCTCTCCATCCAGCCCAGGGAGCAAGCACACGTCTCCTTCCATTGCCTTAGGGGAACAGGAGATGAGAGAGCGGGACTGACAAACACCTTCAAAGCCCAGCTCTGAACACCTCAGAGCCGCAGCACAGACCCTGGGGAGCCCAAAGTGGGGAACCCCTGGGCACAAAGAGCTGCAGGTAAATACCAGTGCCCCCGCAAAAAAGGGGGTCGAGTTCACAGTATGAGCTGCAGCACCTGGGGCACCGAGGTGGGACGGGACCGGGACAGGCAGGGCCCCCCAGCAACATCCTCCCCCCCACCAAGGCTGGGAGCCCTGGATGCACCAAAATCCCACATCCCTTGAGCCTTTCCCCACACAGGCAGCAGTCAGGGTTGGTCCCCAAACCAGTTATGGGCTTTTCAGCCCCAAAGGGGTGCAGGGCTGGCTCCAGCCCCACTCCCCACTGCACCCCTAGTGTTTAACAGGGGCAAGCCCAAGGATGAGCCATGCTCAGGGTCTGCCCCATCCTGGAGCATCTCCAGCAGGCCGGTGGGGACCCCTCCATGGGCAGCATCACCAGTGGTGCCTCTCCCAGCGCCATCCCCACCAGCGGTCAGTGCAGGACCTGCTCCAGCTCGTACTTCTCGCAGAACTTGCTGGTGAAGGGCAGGCAGGTCAGGTATTCCACCCAGCGCCAGTTCACCGGGTACACGTAGAGCCACACCACCAGCGAGGCGAAGAGCCCCACGAACACCAGCAAGGAGACGATGATCATGGCTCGCTTGCGGTACTTGTCCACCGTGCCGAAGGTGATGTAAGGCAGGAAGGCGAAGGAGAGGAGGAGGCCGCTGAGGAAGCCGAAGAGGTGAGCGATGTTGTCAATCCAGGGCAAGAGACCGCAGATGAAGAGGAAGAGGACGATGCCAAAGAGGTTGAGGAAGGCTTTCCAGGGTTTCTCCAGCACTTGCCAGCTCTGGAAGAGCTCCACAAAGAGGCAGGCCAGCAAGCCAAACTGGGAGCCGGCAGGGCCCACCTGCAGGGACGGGAAGTCAGGACTGACCCTGCCACATCACCCCAGACACATCCCTGTGTCCACAGGGACCATAGAATCCCAGCCTGGTTTGGGTTGGAAGGCACCTGAAAGCTCCTCCAGCTCCAACCCCTGCCACGGGCAGGGACACCTTCCACTAGAGCAGCTTGCTCCAAGCCCCTGGGTCCAACCTGGCCTTGAACACTGCCAGGGATGGGGCAGCCACAGCTTCTCTGGGCACCCTGTGCCAGCGCCTCAGCACCCTCACAGGGAAGAGCTTCTGCCTCATATCCAACCTAAATCTCCCCTGTTTGTTTGAACCCATCACCCCTTGTCCTGTCACTGCAGTCCCTGATGAAGACTCCTCTCCAGCATCCCTGTAGCCCCCTTCAGACACTGAAAGGATCATCTCTTCCCCTTGCAAAACACATTTGGCTCCTGCATCCCTCCTGGGGCTGCATTTACACCAGTGCAGGGCTCAGGGGAGGCAGCAGGGGAGGAACAGGAGGGAAGATGCTGGTGCTTTCCATGACTCAGCAGCCGGCAGCATCACCCCCTCCACGGCCCTGTCCCGATGCACCCCGGGGATTAGGGTGCTTGGTGTGATCTCATTTAAAGCTGGCAGGGTTTGGTGCCAGCAGATTAGCCATCTGCCTGCCCGGGGACCCTGCACACACACCGACACGTGGCAATGCGTGACCCACACGTGTGAGCCACATATGTGGGGCAGAGACCCCCCCCTCCCCTTGCCATGGGAACAGCAAAACCGGTCAGGGGATGAGAGCTCTGCTTTGCAGCCCCCTCCCAGGACAGCCTGGGGATGGGTGCCCTGGGCAGCCGGCTGGTTTGGGGTGATGTGGGACAAGCACCCCTTCCCCAGCCTCACCTCTGCCCTGTACGGCAGGAAGATGGCACTGGCCAGGTTGCCCGTGATGCCGCTGAGGATGAAGATGATGGAGATGCGGTGCCAGCCTGCCAGCTTCTCCAGGTCCCTCAGCACCGTCATCTGGAAGGTCACCGACACCAGGCAGTGGATGATGCTGGGGGAGAGACCCTGAGTTAGAGACCTCCTGTCCTGCCATTGCCCCTGCCCAGCCCTCCCACCCGCTGCCCCGGGCCATGAGGCAGCTGACAAAGCACCGTGAACAGCACGTGCTGTAATCTGGGCTGTTCTCTCCTCTTCTCCCCCAAGCCATTGGGGATCACAGACATACAATCCCAGCCTGGATTGTGTTGAAGGGACCTTAAGATCATCCAGTTCCAGGGACACCTTCCACTAGAGCAGCTTGCTCCAAGCCCCTGTGTCCAACCTGGCCTTGAACACTGCCAGGGATGGGGCAGCCACAGCTTCTCTGGGCACCCTGTGCCAGCGCCTCAGCACCCTCACAGGGAAGAGCTTCTGCCTAAGAGCTCATCTCAGTCTCCCCTCTGGCAGGTTAAAGCCATTCCCCTTGGCCTGTCCCTACAGGCCCTTGTCCCAAGCCCCTCTCCAGGTTTCCTGGAGCCCTTCTAGGTTTCCTCCCCGTGGACAGCCCGGTGCCCAGGACACAGGGGCTGCACTCACCCAGCGTGCAGGAACAGGGACAGCCACAGGCGGTAGAACTGATCGGGGACCTCCGGGTTGAGGAAGGGCAGGAGGCCGCAGACCTCGTCCAGGCAGTGCACCTGCAGAGGCAGGAGGGGTCAGGGGGAGATGGGGCTCAGCCCCAGCGCAGCGCCGCAGGGAGCACAGGATGGGGCACAGGGAAGCCATGCATCAGTTGGGGGGGGGGGGCCCTGGCTGCTGTGAGGCACCCACATTGCTCAGGTGCTGGGAAGAGAGCAACCAAGCATCCCTGGGGCTGCAGGAGATCCTGAAGGGACGTTTTCCTGCCCAGAATGTGCCCTTCCCAAGGACACCGGTGCTGCCCGGGTGAGGCTGGCTCAGGCACTACGTTCCCTCCTACCCACAGCCCAAGTCAGGCACGCAGTGGCCAGAGTCCAGCTTACAGCTGGGAAAGTCCCTGCACTTTGCATCCCATCCTCTCAAACGCATCCCATTCCATAGCATACCCTAAATCCCTTCGGCGTCAGCATGGCAACGTGTGACCCACCTGCTCCCATGTCCCACCGTGCCTCCCAGCCCATACCTGCGAGCAGAGCGTTGCCTCCTCATGGAAGTAGCCGTGCATGAACTCACAGTATTCCCGCGTCGTAATCTCGCAGCTGGGCAGAGGCAGGAGCGGGATCACTTGGAGCTGAAATCGCTCCCATTCC